CAAATACTTTTGGCAATATAGTGTATGTTGGAGCTAATATACGCAACGACTGAAATAAGAAATAGGAATCAATTTACTTTACCATTGAGTTACATCCCAGTGTTCACGAGGATGGACCTCTGTGTCTTCGGCAGGCGTAGAGTATGTAGTGATTTTTCTGCCAAACGTGTACAAAAATGCATGTTGCGCACACACATAAAGCATGTTGCATATGCATAAAGCATGTTTCACACAAACAAATCTTATCACTCACAAATAAACATGTTGCACTCAAATAAATCTTATTGTTCACAAATAAAACTTGTGTTACAAACACTCATCTATATGATATATCTGCTTGTCTAGTGACCATGGATGATCGATACTTTTTAAGGTGCATTGTGGGAAATTTCAAGTCCACTACTTTTTCATCCACTAGACATTCAGACATAAATTTAAAATTGCGTAATCACTATATAGTGATCAGGGCAGACATTCAAACACAGCTATTGACTGTTATATATCTAGTCAAAAATTTTGATACACCTACATTTCTATTTAATTTTTAAATGAAAAGAAAGTGTAGAAATTCCAGCCAGATCTGCGACAGACCCGTTACTATTTCAAAAATATAAAACCATTATAAAAGCATCTACTGATTTAAAAGTTTTGCCAAAGTTAAGGTGCCTAAGTTACCCTAGTTGGTTAGATTTAAGGGAAAACTCATTACCTGTCAATGGTGGGTGAGGAATTGATCATATGATATAAACCATAATTTATTTGAATCGCTGACCTTTCCAAAATGCAACCCTGTAGATGATTCGTGCAGGACTTTCATGCTCTGCTAATGTATGTGGCAATGCTAGTGTGAGCAGCTATCTTTCAAACTATTAAAGCTCCGTTTCTCTTTGAAATTTAGAACATTGTCACGAATTGTCCGAACTCTCCTATCTCAATGGCTCTTGGTATATGTAAGCCACTGGCACAACATTCAGAATTCTCATTTTTGTGTCACATAAAATTAACATTGTATATCAGTGAGTTATATTAGTGGAATAGCCAATGCCCGATGCTGAGTTTTAAAGCTACCGTAATATTGGTCAATATTGATAAGATGCCAACAATAAGGTGCAGCTATATTCTTATTAGTATCAAAGATAACTTTCTTAAATTGCAAAGAGGTGTGATTCTAGAGCTACTGTTCACTGATCACTAAGGTGCATTGATGGAATTTCTGAGCCACTGATTCCCATTCATTAAAAAAAGTAAAGCTAAAAATACTCAGATTTTATTTTACCATTCACCTTTATTCATTATAATGTTTAGAAGTATGAGAGAGAAACTGACTTGCAAAGAAAGGAACTGGAGTAGTTTTCTTTGACCTAAACTACTCCTGCCGCCCTCTTCTAATTTTTCTAACATTACAAATTCTTTCGATTCATCTCAGATATCCTTAAGATTACATGTTTTCTATACTTTAGCTAAGAAATGTTTTTAACTTGTTTTTTTTGCCAGCTACTAAGAATTATAAAACTTAAGCATTTAAAGAAACTTTATGTATAAATTTTTTTATTTGTTCATGTCATTTCATTGCACAATCTTCTTTTTTTCCATACATGAACAAAAAGGAACAGAAGGAAGATCTTGAGAGGAAATCTTGTATTACCAGTTCCTAAAAATGCACAACTCAAAAATAAAAAATTAATCTATGAACTTTCACACCATTCGGCCCCAAATCCTGACCAGGTCACAAAACAAAATCAGCATCATTCGTCTTTGTCTTATAGTTCAGAGATTACATTCAGTGCTCAAAGGGAAATGTTCCTATTAGTGGGATTGAACGATCCAATCTAAAAACAACAAAAACACTTTGGTTCCTTTGTTTTTTTTTATTCAGCAGAAGAAAGTCTGCTAAGTCAGCCAAGAAGTAACACTGGTGCAGCATACATCCTGTTAGCTCTAAACCTCCTACTATTCTAAGGAATTTATTTACTTTTCATCAAGCTAGCTTTGATATGACATCTTTCTACAACAGCTAAGTGAAATATTACAGGTTAATGATGCGAAATAATTAGGCAAAAATGTTTTGTCTGGTTATCTTGTTAAAAGACTGGATACTAACCTCTACACTATGACACTGACGTGTGTGTAGCTCTTATACTGACTAAAGTATATCTTTCCCTGTTACAAACCTGAGGCATAAACATAGCAAAATTGGACAAAGTGACATGTTTATATTTCTGTTTCTTCCTTTCTCTTTGATCTGCCTGTTGTTGTTTCCTCTATCACACCTCTCTCCCTCACACCTCTCTGTCTCTTGTTTTCTTCTTCATCACCTTTTCCCTCCCTCAAAGCTCTCCTGATTCCTGCAGAGGCATGCTGCGTCATGGAAACAGCCACCTCTGTGTGTGCATGTGTGTGTGTGTGGGATGGCCTGTGGTAAACGCTCCCTAACAGCACCTCCTGCTGTCCTGTTCGCCAGATTATGATAGGCAGTATGATTTACAGTCAGTCAGAGAGCAGGAAGACATATTTTTCAGTCAAGGGTTTTGACATTTATTTTATTTTGGAAGTACAAGGGGTTTATGGGAAATATCTGGCTAGAGAAGAATACAAAATATTATTTTTCTGTTGCATACAACAATCGTAATCTGGGCATTGTTTAAAAAAAGTTTTGGTTACAGTAGGAAACCAGGGTGCATAATAATAATAAACCTGTGTAGTATAGATTTATTTATTTTTCACACTCTGGACTGAACCATAACAACCACAAACCTTTTTCCAGCCATCACTTCATCACGTAACTAGAGGAGGCAGATGTGCTGATAACAGCTGACCGATTTAGTCATTACTGCTTTGCATAAACTGATATATCTTCTGTTCTTTCTGTTTGAGCAGGTATTTAAACCACTGCACCCTCACAATGTTATGCACATCTTTTTAATATTTTATTGTTTTTGTATTTACTTTGAGTAAACAATGCTGAGAAATATATACATTTTAAGTCTGTTTGAACCGAAATCTTATCCGAAAATAATTAAGCTATTCACAAAATGCCTAAGTTCTATCAATGAAGGGAACTTAAATTTTAGGGTTGTAAAAATATTAAAATTATTCAGCACAATTACTGCTTCCCCAATCCTTGTGAAAACTGTACAAATATTTGCCAGACTGATGTTTGCTTAAAAAAAACAGTTTAAGTACAGAACAATCCTTTACTTATCACTCAAGACCATCCGAATCAACATCAAACTAGCAAGCAATTAAAGGCACATTGAAACATTAAAGATAAACTATAGAAAATGCTCAACTGAATCAAATGTACACTCTTTCATTAAGGATATTAATACCATCACTGTTCTCTTCCTGCAAAAATGACTAAGTATTTCTTAAAATAAGTGTATTTACCCTTATTCTGAGTAGGTAAATAAAATAATCTGCCGATAGTATTTTTACCCTTGAAATAAGTTAATTAGGTATTACACACTTTTCTTTTAATGTAAATTTTCTTATTCCATTGGCAAAGTGTCTCACTTAACTGCTCAATTCAAGTACCAATGCAATCATTTTAAGAAAAAAATTATGGAAGTAATGGAAGTAAAAGTTAAATATTTTTTATTTATCAATAGTCCCCTACTTAATGGTTTTGCCCAAACTAAGAAAGTTAAATATTGTCAAATTATAGTTAATAACTGTTTTCTTAACTAGACAGAACCCTACACCTTTTAAAATGCTGTTGCAAAAAGGGTTTTAAGTAGTTTTCTTTGTATCTGTATCGAGTTTAAAATGTCATGGCAACCTCATTTTGTATTAAGTAGATTTATATTTATATTTAATAAGACTGACTTTCAGTTAAGATGGGAAAGAACTTTGAGACAGAGGTTAATATTTAAAACAATCCAACTATCTTTATATATATCCTCTAAAAATGGACCATAAGGAAAGCTCTTCATTCTTTAAATACCAGTACCTCTAAAGGTAATACGGATTTTAAATAAAATAGTGGAAACCTCAGCTTCTCTTAATTTCATTGACATCATATCTCCTGCAAACAATAAAAGAGTTTAAACACTTCTAATTATACAGACACAAGAAAATGCTTAAAAGAAGGGATTGTTTGCAGCCTCATAAATGCACAGATTAGATGCTCCACACCCACATGGGAAAGGATGGTAAACTTTTAGACTTCTTATATTAGAAAAAAAATGTTTGGAATAGCAATTTTGCAAAACCACAAAGCTGTGTATTATGTGCATTATTACAATAACCCTGTGTAATAATTCTGTTATATAATACTTTAGCTGTTATATAAAATACTTCAAACTATATATATATATATATATATATATATATATATATATATATATATATATAGATAGATAGATAGATAGATAGATAGATAGATAGATAGATAGATAGATAGATAGATAGATAGATAGATAGATAGATAGATAGATAGATAGATAGATAGATAGATAGATAGATAGATAGATAGATAGATAGATAGATAGATAGATAGATAGATAGATAGATAGATAGATATAGATGTGTGTATGTGTGTGGACGCACCTTTTCCTCCTTTTGACACCTTCTTTTGACTATTTAGCCAATATAAAATAAATTTATCCACCGTGAGATCAATAAAGGATATCAATCAATCAATCATCTTACTTTCAGACATTTTTCTGTTTGAACATGTAATCATTTTCAAAATTCCATTCTTCATGCAGGTCTCTTTCCTTCCAGCTTTGCAGTGCTTAAGCTTGGCCTTAAAACCTTGATTCTACAGAAAAATATCTCCAAATGTTTGTTTTTTTTACAGACTCTCAGTGGCATTGTGACATCTCTAGTTTATTTAACAATGTTATGCTGCAACACCAAAGCCAGATCTGCATTTGTTTTATTATAATGTATGTCTGCAGCATTCTCACTGTTATGCTTTGTTTTTTTTTTTTTACCTTTCCTCTTCTCTCTGTCAAACTTTTTTTTCTGCCCATATCCTCTATCTACCCTTCTCACAGGCTTGCCAAAGTCATTTCCATTAGAAAACTCTTTGTTCGACAGCTGGCTGGCCAAGTCAGTTCAGATCACTGCTGATGACATGCTAAGCCAGTGGGCTCTGGGCGGCCAGCATAATGACAAAAGCAGCAGTCTGCTATCTGACCAGGTAGGGCTTTTCAGCTGCCAGAGGCTTGGGAAATGTTGCATTGGCTACTTTTGAGCTGACTCTTGCTTTTCACTGCAGATTTTACAAAGATTTAAGTCATAGGGAAGTATCAATGTACTCTTTATCAGACCATATTGTCCCAAAAGTAAGAACATTTTTATTTAAAAGAAAAATTCCTATCTTAAAATCTGTTTTGTGTTTTTTTTCATTATCTTATTTTGTGTAGGAGAGTTAATTATACGTCAGCCTGTACATCTAAATTCGACCAATCATATGTCAATGGTCTGTCGATCAAATCTTTTTGGTCATAGCATGATTCATATGTCGCAGCTAATATAGGCAACGGTTGAAATAAGAGATAAGAATAATTTACTTTCCCATTGAGTTACATCCCAGTGTTCACGGGGATGGACGTCTGTGTCTTCTGCAGGCGTAGAGCTAACAGAACTGGCAGCGTTGCTAGTCAAAGGCTCAAACATGTACGGCTGTAAGCCTTCAACACCAAACCAAGCTTCTGCCGCCCTGGCGTCCTCTTCCACAACAACTTCGTCCCCACTTTCCTCCTCTAAATAAAAAATGTATGACGGAGGAGACTCTTCCACGACCTCCGACATAAAACTCTCCTCCTCTAAAAGGTTTCCGCTGTCCATAGCGTTCCTTGAGAGTGCTGTTGCCAAGTCACAAATTTAGCGCTACTTGGTCCCAATGGAATTTCCCATTGGGAACCTACTAGCACTAACTTGCAGTGGTTAGAAAGATGCTTCTGAGACACCGGCCACAAGCGAACTTGCTTGTTAACCTTCCGCAACAACAATCCAGCCCCCTTGAATGCAATTGGACGAATCACATTCACTTTGTTCACTCGTGTAAAGTTGTGCACCACTCGGGAGAAATCGGAACTGCAACCGTTGGACAGCCGCTGTTTTTAATAATTAATGACAAATGGTCCTTCCATATACCGAAGGGGAGAAAAAAAAGTCATATGACTTAAACTCTAAGATAGGGGTACAGTTTTCTAGCCCATGGGCTCTAGCCTGTATACAAATTTATAAAAACTCCAAAAGAGCTGCATGTTGGGGATAGCATAGCTCCATATCAATGACTCACTTTTTCCAATTCAGACCTACCTCACAAATGTTAACATGGGAAGTTTCTTTAAAAAAACATTTAGACTTTAAAGGAATAGTACACCCAAAACATGATTAGCCTTCATTTTCTACTCACCCCCATGCTTAACAACACTCTGGAGTACTTTTTTGATATCTCAAATGCATCTGGAGATCTGGGAGGCTTCTTGCTGTCTGCTGACATTCAAATAATGGAGGTCTATGGTGTCCGAGACAGAAAGGTCCATAAAAGTCCACAAAAAACGTGTCAATATTCCTCCATAATGCTCGTCCAATGTATTCCAAGTGTCCTGAGTGGGTAGCATCCAGAATTTACTCGAAACGAAGTCATTTAGAATGTTTTTAGAGCATAAACAGTAGTGTATAGGATTTCCTGAAAGCGCGCGCCTGCGAGCTCACGACGCTACGGAAACCGCGGCAGACCAAACCAGATGAAAGTGCGCATTCAGCTCGGCAAAGAACTCATGCTCTTCCTCAACACTGAAGTCCTCAGACATTTTTCTTTCGTTGTTTCTTTCTTTGCACAGGTAAACAGCACATTTCTTCTTCTACGCTTGCATTATCGGCAGAGCAGACGCTGAATGCGCACTTTCATCTGGTTTGGTTTGCCGGCTTCCGTAGGCTCGTGAACGCGCAGGCGCGTGCTTTCAGGAAATCCTATACACTACTGTTTATGCTCTAAAAACATTCTAAATGACTTCGTTTCGAGTAAATTCTGGATGCTACCCACTCAGGACACTTGGAATACATTGGACGAGCAGTATGGAGGAATATTGACACGTTTTTTGTGGACTTTTATGGACCTTTCTGCCTCGGGCACCATAGACCTCCATTATTTGAATGTCAGCAGACAGCAAGAAGCCTCCCAGATCTCCAGATGCATTTGAGATATCAAAAAAGTACTCCAGAGTGTTGTTCAGCATGGGGGTGAGTAGAAAATGAAGGCTAATCATGTTTTGGGTGTACTATTCCTTTAACAGAAATTGTGTGATTTTGTCAGAGAATAAGATAGATTTTTCAAAAATCAAAAACGCTCCCATTGGTTTTGCAGGAAACAATGGATGATTATGCGTGTTCAGTATGGTGGAGATCTGTAATTCTATGAACTAATTTCTCCTTTAAAGGTCCTAGGAGAATTGATTTAATGCATTGCCTCGATCTAGCTTTTATCATAAAAAGCATCCAAAATATCTAAGACCATACCAACAAAGAAAACATGAGACAGAAGGCCTGCTTCTATGGCCATCTCAGTCCACAAACCAGAATCCTTTAAAAAAATACCTGTAGAAATGACCTGAAAAAAGGAAGAATGGTAAAAGATCTGTCTTTCTCCATGAACCATTTCTTAAAAAAAGCATTTTAACTAGTTTTGTTTATTGCTCTATGAAAGTCATGCAACTTTTTCCCGCTGCTCTGGTCTATTCTTTTTTTTTTTTTTTTTTTCTCTAATGACTTTCATCTCAGCTGCATATTTGTCCTAATGTGACCAGTTTTTTTTTCCTCTCATCCAGCTAATGCAGGGCGAGGAAAGCCTCCTGAACCTTATGATGGAGAACTCTATGCAGCCTGCCTGGAAAACACCTCAGCTGGGCCGCAAACCCAGGGGAAGCATCAAACCCCGTTCACGGGGACAAACTACTGCGAGCAACCAGCCTCTTTTTGGAGCAGCTGCATCTGCCACCAGCTGCCCCTCTACAGCAAAGAGCCTCTGGGAAAAGTCCAGCCATGTAGGCCAGAAAGGCGAAAAGCCAAGAAGCTCGTTTAAGACCGTGCACCACCATGTTCATCAACACCAGACCAGGAGCTCTGACCTGTACAGTGACCCACCACCACAGCCGCCTATCTCCAAAATGGATTCCTGCCACATTTCTGAGGAGCGTGGCCCGTGGGACAGCGTCCACATGGGAAATGGGGTTGTGTTGGGGGATGGATCTGGTTTTACAGCCAGCTCTTCTCCATCTCCGGCCTCCAGTCCGGGTATCACAGTGCCTGACGCCAGGGCAATCCTCCGAGGTGGGGGACCAAGGTCCCGCCTGGCCCGTCAGGGCAGATCCAGAGTAAGGGGAGGCTTTGGGGAACTGGACTCCATGGACCTGCCACTCACAGGGAAGGGCACATCCTTGCTGGATGCTGCCGACACTGATGGGTATTTCTCTGATGGTGAGAGTGATTTGGAAGTGCGTTCCGGTGGACGTAAACTTCGGCTGCCTCAGTTGCATTCTGCGAATGAGGATCTACTGAGAAGAAGCGTTCTGGCGTCCTAAACAACCTAGACTCAAACAAAAACACAAAGGAAGATCTCAAAGCTGACTGGTGGCTGAGCAGCCTTGTTAAACCAAATCTGTCATATCTATCAGTGGTGACTTTTTCCAGCTCTGCTTTGTTTTTTTGTTGTTGTTTTTTTAGGGAGGGGTGATCTGAATGTAGCTGTATGCTTATCGTACAGTAAAGCTTCTCCACTGGACCACAGTTTGACGTTAGCTCATCATACAGTACTCTCAGCAAATAGGAAACAAACATAACCATTTGTCTTTGTATATTTCTGATGACTTTTCTTTCTGAGCGCTATTCAAGCTGGTTTCAGGTGTGCAACATTCTTCTTTTGAAGGTCCAAGTTGCATCCAAGGAGTACTTGTTTTCTGAAATATGTTCGCTCAAAGACAATTTCATACCAGAGTTGACATGAATATGTACGGAGGGTGGCACAGGACGGCATGTACTCAGCCATGAAAAGCACAACTAGTCAGATGAGCTGTCATGGAAGCACTTGAGTGTATAATAGATACTCATTCAGGGCTGGGGTCAGTTTAATTCCTGTTGACTCAGAAGAAGAGTTTACACAGAAGCCTTTTTTTATTTTTTTTATTAGTTTTCCAATTTCTTTTTATCCAATTTCTTCCTACTCAGCGAAGATTGACCCCAACCCTGCTGTTGTGTCAGACTGTCACAGAGACACAAACACACACAAACATACACTCCGGAACATTTACATGTCTACTTGCATCTTAGCATTGTATAAATATTTTATAAATTCTTCTCCACTGCTGTCAAATTCTTCCAAAATTGACTTTATTCCCCCTAAATTTTAAAAAACAGAAAAACAAAATCAGTACAGAAACGTTGTGCCTTCGGTCACTTCCTGTGACCTCCCCACGAAACAATCAATGACTAAACCAATCAATTGTCTCGCAATCAAAATTTTTAACAATCAAAGCAAAGCAAAATCCTGCTAGATTGGTTGCCACGTGTAGCCATCTGGTGTGTTGTCACCTTAGCGATTGAATAGTGCCTAAAAAAACAACGGAAATGCATGCAGCCTTTGCCATTTATTTTAAGCGATTAATCTGCAGCTCTTTGCAACACAGGGCCACACAGCGCTGTCAATGCAAAGATCGGCCTACTCTTATAAGCCCCAGTTAAATGACTCACTTGCTGCAGAGAGCCATTAAAAACAAGTGCTTGGCCAAGTTACACTGTTCTTGTTTTATAGACGCCTACAAGATACCTGTTGCTCATGTCTGATCTGTTGAGATAAAAACGGCTTTTCAGATTCTAATCTTTACCTATTTTAATCTGTTCTCTTTTTATAACCAAATTATCTAGGTGTTGTAACTCGAAAACAAAATAAATCAAATGCTTTGACTTTTTTGCAATGCCTTCAAAATCATCTAAAGCTGCTGATAAAATGAGCAAATATCAATATCTTATAAGAAATCATACAGTAATAGTTTGTCTTCCCGGTGTGAACAGATATTTTTATTCTCAGTTTTTATGAAAGAAGAGTTAATAAAGAGCAGGCTTTTAAACATGTAAAATACAACTAATAAAAGAGAAAACATTTTTTTAACAGTCTTTAAATATATGCGATTAGAACAGTTAGTGTTACCAGTTTTAAACGGCAGACACCATCTGAATTCCCCTTGGGAACGCAGTCCTTTAAGGTTATTAAAATATCTAAATCCAGAAATGCAAATGTTTCTAGCAAAGCTTCACCAACCTCCAAGGTGCATGAAGAGGGTCAGGGAACTGGTAAAGGGAAAAGTTCATCTTCCCTTGAAGTATTTCAAACAGACTCTTGCCCCATTTACACCACCCTGCGTTATTTCCTAAACGCAGGAAACGACGTTAAGGTAATGACGCAGTCTGCTCATGCACTCTTTGTTATCTGGGAACAGAGCCAGAACGATCGTTCGATTGTGTCTGCATGGTCGGGTTCAGTTTTGCGTGCAATTTACACTCAACAGTTATCTCGGTTACCGTCCTCGGACCAATGTTGGCACGGTTTTCGACGGACTCATGTAAATGGGGCTATTAGCTGCGTTTCCATTACCCTTCAAGTCGAGCAAATTGTAATTATAAGTTTGCTAATTGAAACTCTGTAATTTCAAGAAACTAATGTTTTCTGTTTTGGTCCAATGGAGTTTGTACTAAATATTTTATGTGTTGCTGAAGTTTTCACCTCAAAATATCTAAATCCATACAGTTTGAATTACAGTTTGAAAAGATAACACTTTCTTATACAATACATTCAGACATCTTGTTATCTGCTAAATTCTCAGCTAACATCCCTGGTAGAATTATTTGTCTTGATTATTCAGTGTTATACAGACTTACAGTTAAACACTGCACCGACAGTTAAAATGGTTTTCTTTAAGTCCTCTTCTTTCAGTAGCCAATTCCACACTGAAGGTTGTTGCTCAGTTAGGTATTGCGCATTCACTGACGGTGGGAAACCCAGTTACCCATGAAACACTATCTCAAATTGTCTTTTTTCCCCTTTCTAAATATTATTGTCTAAGTCCTTTAGATGAAAAATGTCCAAATAAATTGGTTACTTCAGGTCGTTATGTATATCTATGCAGTTTTTAATGTCTTGGTGCAAATACAGCACTTTCTAGCAGATAGTGACACCAGCATAGCCCACTTTAAGCCTGTCTTGACCAAGCTCTTGTATCTTATGGCTCTAGTGCAAGCATACCACATCCTAAACAAATGGAAAAAACATAAGAATCAGCGTCTAGCCCCTCCTGAGTTACCAAACCAAGCTTTTTTGTTTTAGAGCAAACTTAACGATCTTGCCATTATCCAAGAAAGTTGTATTTTGTACTCAAGAGGCAGTTTATGGTATTCTCAGGGGTAAATGAAAATCTTTTTAAAATGATTATGACAAGATTAAAGAAAATGTAAATGTAAAATTATATATACTACATAATATCTATGTCAAAGTGAGGTGTGTTTGATGAGATACCTTGTTTGGCCAGTGTCATAGTTTGGTTTCCTACAACATTACTACTGAGCAAGTGTCTTCTTTGAGTGTGTCCATCAGCCCTGGGCTCAACAGTTCTGACTTATGTTTATTACCAGATACGGACAGGTCATTCTCCGCTGGGGCGCTCAGACCTATCAACGCAAAATGTGTTGAAATAAATTAGGAAAAATGATTTGTAAGGGCTGCTTGACCCAGGTCGACACACAAGCCTTTAAGTAGAGATATACGTCCATTCTGCTCTGTTTTATCTTCTTCTGTACAGACTCATTCTAACTGGTGTTCAAGAGTGACCATGCCAAAGAGCAGATCTGTGTAACAAGGCAGCATATTTACATCTTGTCTACACAAACACGCATACATGCACTCTGTCTCTGGATCGCAAGATAAAGTGAGAACGAAAAGGTGACAGACAGCTCTGTAAGTGACCTCCAGGTCTGTTTGGTTTATTATGGCTGTAGTCACCAATGTAACGGGCTTTTCCCCCCTGACCTATATTCACAGGGCCTGTTACAGCAAACAGCTGGTCACTTAACACAGACTCACAAACATAAACACCTTAATGCTGCTTAAGTATGAAGATCTAACACAGCTCCTGCAAAATCACATGCAGGGATTCACACAAGCTGGTATCAACAGGGTTATAACGTAAGAGATGAATAGTTTTGTATGGATATGTGGTCCTGACTTACTCAGAGAGAAACGCCCTCTAATGACAGAGTTTTATGACAAGTGATGGCACTGTGTCCTTTTTGTCCTTCAGGGGTAGCCATCATAGGCGGTTTACATGGTTGTGCTGAATTGTGAGAAAATATCCATAAGCAATTTCTGAATTTCTACCATAGCCTGGAGGATTTTGGACTTCTACGTTGGCTATTACAGATGATCATTACAACACAGACACACAACAACAACAACTAGAGAACATGTTTTTTGAAGTGAAGATGTGGTGAAGTATCATTGCAGCCTACAGGACCGTCCTCCGGGTGTTAGTTGCTGTTCATGTGTCGCCAAGACAGATAATTGTAATCTTGGTTTCAATATTCAAAGTAGCCTGATGTTGTAGACAGTGGTATTAGATGAGGCCTAACATTTACGGCCTAAACATGTAGTAGCAAATGCTAAGGCTGCACAGTGCAAACGGTTAAAAGGAACTTTGGTACATGAGGTTCAATTTTTTCAGATCAAATCTGAAACTGATTCTGTTATCCATTGGTGCTGTGCAGCCTTAACAAAAACTGGTTTATTATTCTGTATTACAGTGTGGCTTCAATGCCCTCTCCTTCCGCTTCGTAGATACTGTAGACTGGAATCTTGCAGGTTTTTGTTTTTTATCAGTATCCAGTAGAATACAGCTTCAGTGTCCTCTTTGTGGTATGCTGGTGGTGGGCGCTGACTCACAGCCTGAAATCTTCCCTGGTTGATCTTTGAGTTTTGCAACTCTGACAGGTCCAAATTTCCACATGATAGGGAGATCTAGATTGAAAGTTTTCAGCCATAACTGTGGGTTTCATTCTGTCAACCTAGATATGATGTGGAAAGTTAAATCAGTTAGAAAAGAGCATCAGTGACAGCATCAGCAAAAAGATAGGTGAGGTTTCTATTTCCTATTTCCTTTCTTTTGCATAATGTGATCCCCACCGCTCAAGTTTGAGCAACATTGTCCCTCAAATCTGACCATGTTTACACATGGCGCACAAAATACAACAGCCTAAATGAAATTGCATCCAAGCTCTTCTTTTCAATTACAATATTCAACAAACTGATAACTAGAAAGACATTCTACATACTAGATCAATATTATAGCTAACAAGCTGCTGCTTTTTTCTTGGCCAAATTCACCCTTAAGCGTTGACATGAATGATACTCCAATTAAAAAAAAAAAACAAGCTGCCAACCATAAATCAAATAACAGCTCAGGAAAACAATCGCATTGATGCATTTCTTGGAGGGGAAAAGTTGAAAAGAGAAGCTAATTAAAGAGCAGCTCCTGTTGCTGCAGGTAATAGAAACCTCTGATTCTAACAGCTGATATTAACAATACATATTCTGTTGCAAATCTCAAACATCAGTGAACCCATTAGGCTTGGTTTCTTAGAACTACTTCGGCAAAAAGTCACATCTACTATAATATTAGGCGAAGAAAGCATGCTGGTTAAATGGGCAACAACTTTTTAGGTTTTAAATAAAAGACCCTGCTTCAAGACAAAATCTGGGAGTAAAGCCGAGTTGGTTTTAAAGAAACAGAGAGACGTTCAGATATTAATACAATG